CAAGATGATGTTGTTTTTCATAGAAAATACCTTTGATAATTCCTTCACTTATTCTTAATTGACAGAGGAATTTTTTTTACCGCAACGACATCTCCATGCATAACAATTTCACATGATAATTCCCTTTCATTAGACATTAAGAAGAAATGAAAAGGAAATTATTAATGATAAACCTAACTTGGAAGAGTTGGTCAAAACCCTAATTGATGATGATGATAAAGAAAAAATAATAAATGGGGAAAGAAGAAGAACATTGCATCCAAAATCCCCCCTTTCTATAAAATAACAAAAACAACAAAAAAAAAATTGTGAAAAATGAGCTATCTTAATGACCTATCTGAACCCAAATTCATAGAGATTACAAATACTGAAAATTGAGCTTCTTAATGATCTAGATTTCAAGTTTAGTGATGATTGTCGTGAATGAATCGAACATGTAAGTTATAGAACTTACCCTTTCACCTCATTCACAACCATGATCATTAGAACTTGAAGTCCAGATCCTTCAGAAGCTCAAATTTCAGTACTTTGTAAACCTTCAAGAACTTGGACTTAAGATTGCTCATTTTTTCATAGAGAAAATTATTGGAGGTAGGGATAATGTCTATATACACTTTAACTCTCCCAAAACCCCACGTTTCATTGCTCCACTAATTCTAACCAACTTTTAAGCCAGAGAGAGTGGTGATAATGACTAACCAACTTTCAATTGTTTCACTAATTCTGCCTTGCTCAATCTTCAACATTCACACATTATATGTTGTATCACCCATTGGAATAGCTCTATGTGAAGTGAATCTGAATTAATAGGTGTAAAGAAAAAAAATTGTGCATTTGATTCATACGTAGGGGTCATTTGGTAGGAATTTTAACGAAATAAACTTGAAACAAGTTCTCAAAACAATCTATTCAAGCACTTGAAAGCGAAAGTATATTTCTAGTTGTGATTATTACTTTTCACCGAAAGTACTTTTTTGCTTAAAAAATTCCATTGGTGCTTAGATTCTAGGAATGCCAAAAATATGCAAAATGCACATACAAATGTTAGTGAGGGACATCATTGGCCTGAATTTAGACAGGTCAAAATGAGCTAACAGTAGGTTGAACATATTATATTTTCATGAGATAATTTTATCATATCTAATGTAACCGAGGTAACAACAGACTTACGAGAATGTCATTTATGGACATCAATGTAACTGAGTAGCAAGCACAGATGATTTGTGAGATGACATATACATTTTTTGGTAAAATTAGTGGCTCTAAGTTTACTAATTTACCTCATTCTAACATTGTTATACAACATTATGCATCTTCACATACCAAAACTTAAGTACTCCAAAAGACCAAATTTGTAACACATTTATACAGGCAGAAAATGATGCTGAAATCATCTCTATGGCTTCCATGTAAGAAAAATATACAGCAGAAAAATGGAGGAGGATTTTGGCACGAAAAAAATGAACAGCACTTGACTCGACTACAACACTACACACACAACACAACCCGAAAGGAAGAAAGAATACAGAAGAAAATGAAGAATCTCGGCCTGATCAAAGCTATGGCTACTCATTCCACTCTATAATTAACAAATCAATATACCATCAGGAGACGGAGCATAATCCTGATCTACACAACCGGCCTGCCTCCAAAAGAATATGGTTCTAGTCTTGACATCCTATCATCCTCGATATCAATTTGAACAACGCATCAGTCTAATTACATACGAAGTTTCACTGCCCAAACGTGATAATCAACAGCAAACAAAGTGTTAGAAATCCTCATCATTCTGGCTTTGCTTGATCTTTCCAGTTTGAAGCTGGCATTTTACACAAAGGATTTGGACGAATCTGCTACCATTCCCCGCTTCATTGAAAATGAGAAGTATCTTCAGTTGCATTGCTTCTGTTTTTAAACAAGTCTATGCTGACGCAATCCCTTCCCAAAGTGAGGCTGCATTACTTTAGGCAACACTTTTTTGGGGGTGGCCTAAAGAGGCGTAACCTTTGACCTTAGGCTACACTTATCAAGTGTTACCGTAGCAGCTACGCTTAAAAAGCATGGCCGATGAGGTACAAAGGCCACGCTTTGTACTGCAAAATTGCTCAAATTTGTCTTCATTATACTTTGGTCTATTCATACTCCCGCCATTAGAAAAAAAATCAACATTTCTCCAGTTAAAATTAATTATTCTTCTATGTGTCGGTCAATATGAACAGTTATCTCCCCCTTTTATTCAAATTTTCCTTGTCCTCTTCATCAGTAGGAAATAAATCTTCCAAGACAGTTGGGCTCTTTATCAGTTCTCGTTTCTATCTCTTTCTTCTTAATGACTAAAGAAATTGAATTATCATGTGAAATCCAGTTTGCAAGATGATGTTGTTTTTCGTAAAAAAATATCTTTGATAACTCTTCACTTATTCTTAAATGACAAAGGAATTTTTTTTACCGCAACGACATCTCCATGCATAACAATTTCACATGAGAAGTATCTTCAGTTGCATTGCTTCTGTTTTTAAACAAGCCTATGCTGACGCAATCCTTTCCCAAAGTGAGGTTGCGTCAGGCGGACATACAAACCATTTTTTGACATCAGTGTATCATGGGTACCTTCCTCAACAATCCTCCCTCCATTAAGTACAACTATGTTGTCAACATGCCTCATCATGGCAGCTCGGTGGGCAATTAAAATAGTTGTCTTGTTCCCCATGATTAGAGTATCAAGTGCCTCTTGTATCACTCGGCTCGACTCAGATTCAATGGAGGAGCTTGCTTCGTCCAATAACAGAATAGGTGCATTCTTCAGAACAACACGAGCTATTGCAATTCTTTGCTTCTGCCCAGGAGTCAGATCTACCCCCCTCATCCCAACATGTGTGTCATAACCATGAGGCAAACTGCTGATGAAATGATGAGCATTTGCTATTCTAGCGGCTTCTTTCATCTCAGCTTCACTAGCATTGTGCCTTGCGTAGATTATGTTTTCCCTAATGGTGGTTGAAAAGATAATTGGTTCCTGCTGAACAAGTCCTAAATGGTTCCTCAACCATCGTAAATTGTATGACTTTAAATCACGGCCATCAAGTAAAACCTGACCAGCAACAGGGTCATAAAACCTCTCTATTAAAGATATAATTGTGCTCTTTCCTGAGCCAGAAACACCTACCACAGCTACAGTTTGCCCTCCGTTGACTTTTAGTGTGAAATTGCTCAGTACCAGGACTTCTGGTCGAGATGGATATGAGAAATCAATGTTTTTCAACTCAATACTTCCATAGACATTTGGCGGTTTTAAGGCCGAGTTGTCATCTGGATCAATCTTTGGTGCTCGGTCAATTATTTCGAATACTGAGGTCAGAGATTTTCTTCTTTTGAGAATATATGGAGCCAACCCAAAAGGCTCAACAAGTGCAAAAGATGCAAATGAGAACACCATGAACGCCTTGAGCGCTGTAGTTAGATTCACGTGCTTATTTTTTACAGTGAGTGCAGTATACCAAAGGAGAAGAGCATTGCAACCAAAAAGAAGAAACTGTGAAAAGCCAAAAGCCAAACCAATTGCCACGCCATGGAGGAAGCTTTTCGTAAATATCTTCTGCAATTGCGACCTGTAGAGCTCCATTACCTTATCACCAGCACAGAATGCTACAACTGTATAGATATTTCTAACAGCATCCTCAAGGACCAACGATGCCTTCCTGTGCATCTCCTGAATACCCTTTGACAAACCAGCAAGCCACAATTTCTGCAAATTAAGTTCAGATCCAAGTGAGTGCCTGGTAGAAAGGACTACGAATATTGAGAAGTTCTTAAACTTGAGCGAAGAGATGGTAATTTGAAAAACTGATTGCCATAAACTACACTAACTTTTTAACAAGCCTTTTTGCAGGACCGGAACTCTACAAAACCAATTTTATTGTTTTATGGGAATAGGAGAGAAGAAGACAAAAAGACAATCTGGTTTCTTCAAGGAAAGTCAGCTCAGAATGTTTTAAGATAAGCTTGCTATAAAAATATGAAATACACTTTTCTGCTGTGCATGAATAAGTGACTAAGTTGTGACATTCTACAAATAAAACAAACCTGCGCAACAGCAGACACGGTAAGAACAGGAAGAGTGGCTAATGCCACGAGTGCCAACCGCCACTGAAGTAGAATCCCAATAAGAATAGCCACAATAACAGCTGAAGTATCTTGTATGAATATGGACAGGCGATTGCTGAAAGCAGCACGCACAAATGTAGCATCATTTGCCAAGCGCATTGATAGATTATCAGCACTATTCTCCTCCTCGTCAAACCACCCGACTTCATTGCGAAGCATTGCTGTTGAAGAACGACAACATCAGAAAAAAGCATCAGTATTCATGAGACAACTAATTATGATCATTATAAGTGGATATATTTACACTAGTACAAATGTAAAACAAAACAAACTATGAAAGGAACAATTACTAATTGAAATTAGTCATTACCAGAAAACATCATCCTCCGAACTCGCTCAGTCATTTTCTCTCCCATTATACCAAAATAGAAGTGCTGCAGAAAATTGGCAAATACAGTCACTACACCCATACAGGCTATGATGAGGCACCACCTGTCAACATCTCGCCGTAAGTGATGCTTATCATCTGTTGTGTAATATGCAGTTACAATCAATGCAATGACATAGGCCAATAGGGGATTAAAGGAACCAAATATTGCAGCACCCGTGCTCCCTAGTAGAGCATAAAGCCACTCTGCAAGGCTAAGCTCAACAAGTCTCCAGAAGGATGGTGGTTCTCGATTCTCTGTATCCTTTGTTTCTTCGGATGTATTAGGAAAGTCATCAAACTCACTGTTAGGACGACTAAAAGTTTGTGAGTGAGAACGCTCATTTTTGGGATCAGATGTCAAGAGTGGTGAGACAGGTGATTCGGGATCAGAATTGTTGGACAACTTCCGATTTGCAGATTGAACATCAATCTTAGGAAGCTCTGGCAGTCTCATCTCAAAGCTATCCTGCCTTCTTATTGATGGTTCTTTATCAGCTGAATCCAAGGGCATACCATTCTCAACCATTTGCTCCGGTGGCGGGCTACGGTTGTGGGGAGATTCTTGAGAACTAAATGTAACATCTGCTGCCCAAAATGCATGGGCACCAGAAACCCTTTGAAGAGATGGTGATTTCATCATCTTTGGAGAAGAAGGTTCTTGGAAGCTATGACTAGCTGAAGAATCTTTTTCAACTTGAAACACCGCAGTCCCCTTGTGGTTTCGCATTGGCATCCTGAATGATGTGAGCGAAAGCATGTAACTAAGTATCAGTAATTAATCTAAAACCGGAAAACAAACTACAAGGATAATTTTTGGGAAAAACGGGGACTTATTTATCACCAAATAACCTTGTAATGCAAAGCTATAGCAAACACTTATAACACAATAATCATCCAAGTGCTCAGTCGAGTCATGTACCGCACCTGCGAGGGAGTTTTGCTGCTTCTTCACATTTAAGAAGCTCGGCATAGAGGCCATCCAGTGCTATCAGTTCATCATGTGTTCCCATTTCAACTAATTGGCCTTCGTCCATCACGGCAATGTAATCAGCATTTCGGATAAGACTAAGTCTCCTTGCTATTATTATAGTTGATCTGCCCAACATGAGGAGATCCAGTGCTCCCTGAACAGATCTCTCAGCTTCAAAATCAAGTCCACCAGTAACTTCATCAAGAAGAAGGATAGAAGGACTCGAAAGAACAGCCCTAGCAACAGAAAGTTTAATTTTTTGCTCTTCGGTCAAAGTTAGACCAGTCCTACCCACCTACAAGAAATATTAAGTAGGAAAAATTAAGCATCAGAAAAGGCAAAACAGTTGAACATATGAAAGAACTGTGACAACTGCAAGATACCTGAGTCTCATATCCTCCCTCCAGTGAGCTAATAAACGTATGGGCATGTGCTATTTTCGCAGCTTCTTCAATTTGATCTGAAGAAGCATCTCGTCCATAAGCAATGTTATCTCTGATGCTCAGACTTAGCAAGGCAGGTTCCTGGGTGACTAAGCCAATTCGGCTTCTCAGCCATTCCAGCTTCAGGTTTTTAATGTTTTCCCCATCTAACAGGACTTCCCCTGCAAGTAATATATCAGTAGAGTATCATATTTTTAGCTTGCTTGAAGGAATATGCAACCCATGGAAGAGAACTTAAATGGTAATATTACCTAATGTAGGATCGTAAAACCGCTCCATAAGTGGTATAATACTACTTTTGCCGGAACCATTTCTTCCAACAAGAGCTACAGCCTTTTTAGCAGGTACAGTGAGATAAAATCCACTCAAGATAGGAATTTCAGGGCGAGAGAGGTAGCTGAAATATACATTTCGGAACTCAATGTTTCCTTGCACAGAAGGAAGGGTGGTTCCTTCATTATTAGCAACGGAGGACGAACGACTGATCATCTCAAATAGCCTATAAGCTGCAATTCTCCCTTGTTCAAAAGAGTAAAAGTTTGTTGCTGCTTGATTCAGCCCACTGTATCAATCAAGGAATTGGTGGATTGCATTACTTTAGTACGACATATGAGGGAGGAGAGTCAGATGTGTGAAAGAGATACTCACAGGCCACTTAGAATTACAGCAAAAAGAGCTGTAACAACTTCACCGCCATGAGCTTTTCCATGTGTGACCAGGAATCTTCCAACCCACAGTTGCAAGGCACAGGAACAAATTGCAAGCCCGTACGTGAAGCCAAGTCCAAGTCCTTGCACAAGACTTATTAATATACCGTACCTCAGTGTAGCTTGTAGCGAGGTAGCATATGAATACTTGGCCAAAGTTTCATTTGTGAATGCATACAATGTCCTAATATAAGAAACTGCCTGCATCATATGAAAGGGAAGTTGAAGGAAACTCTCCATAGGCATTTAAATTCAGATCCAAATATCTGTAACTCTAGCTGATCCATACAGAGACCAATACATCATTCCTTGAACATCGTGAAATATGTTATGTTTACCATGTAGAAGTACATTATCTGGTAGCTGACAACTCAATTCATCTATATATTCAGCTTCATCTATGAAGGCATAGCATGGTTGAAGAGTAAATTTTTATCAATGACAGAATCATGGCTTTGCTGTTTTATGAAGATGATGGACACTGGGAGATAACAGAAAGCAACTTAATTGAAAACCATTTTTAGTTACTTCCCACAGGAAGACTCTCTACTGGTGTGTGTGCCTACTGCTAATAAACTTCTTGACTATTCTTCTTGTACATGAATATATTCAATTCATGTATTATGGAATTACTTTGTGCACCGAGCTGCCCCCTTTTTTATGTTTACGAAATTAATGCAAGTATGTGTGTAGGATATTGTACATGTATTTGGGAAGGGGAAATTCTAGTATAAAGTTTTGATACATGTATTAGACTTGGTAAATATTAGAAGATATCCTATAAGTACCTAGATACCTCGGGGTGGATCATAGACGGATTTCTCGGTTATCAAAAAAAAAAATAGTACCTAGATACCTTGTATTTTTTTGATAAAGGTTAAAAAAAATATACTAGACAAGCTGAGAGAAGTAAGGAAAACTACTTTCCTCCCACTTGTTTTCTAGAGAAAGTCAGTGCCTTGAATGTGCTCCTCAAATTTCTCAACATTTGGCATCAGAGCCAATTCTCTTGAGAGATAAGTGGGAATATAAAAATAAAAAATAAAAACTGAAACCTCAAATTGAAATGAATGTGGATCAAATTAGCTATATTATAGGTATGAGGATGCTGAGCTAGAGAAGCACCAGACTAATAGAACTACAAGATTTCAAAAGTTTTAACTTTGAAGGATTATTTTGACGGGAAGGGGGACAAGAGGGTCAACCATGACAAAGTAGATGCTTATGGAGTAGCTATACGATAACGGATCTTCAGTAGAAGTATCAGATGATGTCAATGCCATGGCCCATGAGAATGATTGATAAGAAAATCCCCACTTGCATTTAGCAAGAATTGATTACGAGATATTTTAGAAGGTTTCTTTCTGTGTAGTTCAAGAACAGATAAGGATGATGATGAAGAGAATATATGGAGATGACTCGAATGAAGGGGTTCATTGCAGAATACCGACAATCTGACTTCAAGATTTAGTTATGTTATTGTCGCTACTAAAAAGTCCAGGGATATTGATTCCAAGATACCATAACAGAACTTACAGGGTTTTTGCAAGCAGATGAGGAAATCCTGAAGAAAACGAAACAAGTATCATCGAACAAGCATTGCAAGCATTGGTTTTCTTAAAGGAAAAAGATGATAAGTGTGCTTGCATCAAAGAAGCTGCAGACGAGGATGAGCAAGGGAAAGAATCGAGAAGGAAATTGAGGTCACCAAGTTGTTGTTATCTCCACCTCAAGATTAACATCTTCCACACATCTCTTGGAGTGATAAATCGTGCTTAAAGGGGGTACTAGAAGATAACTAGCATGAAAAGAATTTAATGTATGAATGCAGGTAAGATTTTAAACATGAATACGGAAAGGAAAAAGGTCAATAATTGAATTATGACACATGTACTAGACTAAGTACATGTTAGAAGAACTCCTATAAATACTTGGGTATTACCGTCATTTTATGTAAGCAGAGTTGAAGAGAAGGAAGAACACTTTCCTCTACTTGTCTTCAAGAGAATTATTGATGAATTATTGATGATTGCCCGTTCCTCCCATATTTCCGTTACTTAGCGCATATTCATGTTGAAAAGATCCTTATTCTTTATTATAGAAAAACAAGTGAAAAAAGGCATCACAGTCCTTCAGGAACAGATTGTTATTTATTGTCTACAGTGTTAAAAAGGGAAGTACAGAATTCTTAGTTCTTTTCTGCTTTTCCTTTCATCTCTCTTTTTTTTTTTTTGGGGGGGGGTTGTGGAATGCTTCTACTGTTAGCACTGATCCAACGGAAGATTATGTAAACAATGCCATTCATCTACATAGTTACATTTTTTATTTTTTATTTTGAAACTGATCTACATAGTTACATTAAGTGAGTATAAAGAATCACAAATCATCATTGATTGCTAAAAGCTCGCACGTTAATAAATATTAAATTACACTACAAAGAGCAAGAGTTTCATGAAGTTCCCAAATGGGAGAATCAGATCAATAATGGAGAAAACCAGACCTGTTCAGCTATACTTGCTGCTTCAGCATATGCATCCTGAATGTTCTCTGCAAGTCTATGAAGAAATATATTTGATATTCCCCCAGCTGCAACAATAAAAGGGCCAGTTGCTAAAGTTATAAGGGCAATTTGCCAGCAATTGACAAATCCAATAACAAGGCCACTGAAAAAAGTAGCCATGTTATGAATATAATTCCCAACCTGTCATAGCATAGTTAAGATAAAGGTGAGAAGCCATTGTCAAAGTCAAGCAAAGAAGATAAAGAAGGCTGAACATACTTTTTCACTAAGAGCAGATTGAATAAGTAGCACATCACTCAAAACTTGGCTCACAATGTCTCCATTGTTTCCATAGGTATCAAAAAAACTCATATCTTGATTTAGTAATACTTGAACATATCTTGATCTGATCACCGCAGTCTGCCGTTCTCCGGTAAGAATCCAACATGATACCTCTATCAGAAAGAAATTAATTAAAACAAATGATAAGAGAAACTTTAAATGGACAATGATAAAACTTGAGCAATTTTAGCTTACCAATCCAACCAGCAACAAAAACACCCCCAGCAATATATAGGATGATCAAGGCAAGCTGTGAAAAATGTGATCTTTGTTAGGTAACGTGACTGTTAAAAAAATTCTTGGTTAAATATCACAAACAATTATAACAAAGACCAAGAGAAAAAAAATTCAAAATAACTATCATCATCAAGTGTGGCTTGCAAGTATAACAAATCACCCTCTCTTTTACCATCTTTCTGGGGGCTTTTGGAAAGAAGTACTCTCTCTCTCCAACTTCATTTTCCATTTGATGGTCAGGTACCAAATGCCAACGAGTAGAGCTCTTACATGACTAGATCAACAGGAAGTCAGGAACCAACTACACTAAAGAAACATACCTCTCCTTCTTTTTCTGCTTCTTTTTTTTACAACATTAAGACTATCATTTGAAGACCTTCAAAGAATTTGGGCACCAATTACATGCAATAAAATCTAATGGGCAAGATTGATTCAACTACAGATCTCTAAGGAATGCAAATAAACTTGTAAACATACAGATTGCTAAAACGTTAAATGGAAAACCATTAATGCAAAAGATTCTCATGTTAGTCGATAAAAATAACATTACCTATTTGAAAAATTAAAATAGTGATTCCTTGTACTCCTTTTTATAGTTTCCAAATGTATTTTATCTTTTAGAAAAATCAATCAAGATATACACCAAGTTGGGGTCAATGAACATGTCCAAGATGCTTATGTCGCTTTGCTCACAGAATTAGATGAGTTGATCCTTGTACTTTTTTAAAGATGGTGGTGTTCGAGTCATCTTGTGCGCACCTCAATTATTTGTGAATGAGATAATACTGATTGATGAGACATGTAATGGAGTTAATGATAAGTTAGATGTGTGGAGACAAACTTTGGAGAGTTTCGGTTGTGTGATAAAAAGGTACTATTGAAACTCAAAGGTAAGCTCAGTTGAGCGGACTCTTCACTTTTGATGCCGCACCAGTGTCGGATTCTCCAAAAATACACGACTTTTGACAAATTCGGCATGCACCCGTTGACATTTTTAAAGAGTCCGAGCAACATAGAAGGTAAGTTCTACATAATGGTGATTAAACTGACATTGTTGTATGGAACGGAGTGTTAGCCAGACAAAAATTCCCATGTCTAGAAGATGCATGTTGTAGAGATGAGGATGTTGAGGTGGATTTGTGGTCATACTAGGAGTGATAAGATTAGAAATGAGGATATTCGGGATAAGTTAGGAGGGGCCTCCGTGATGGATAAGATGAGGGAAGCGCAACTTAAATAGTTTGGACATATGAAGAGGAGAGACGCAGCAGTGAGGACGTGCGATAGGTTGGTTATAGAGGGTACGAGGAGAGACAAAGGTAGGCCAAGAAAGTATTGGGGAGAGGTGAAAAGACAAGATATGACGCAACTTCATGTCACTGAGGACATGACCTTAAATAGGAAGGCGTGGAGGACACGTATTAAGATAGCTGGTTAATAGGTCGTGTAGTGTTGTCTTGCTTTAAGGGGTTGGTGTTCGCCATTGTACTAGTTGTATTATTGTAGTTCTTCTTTTTGATATTTAGCATTGTTTATTTTTATTTTCAATAACTTATACTAGTATATTGTTTATTGGGTTTCGATTATCACATTATTTTGTTGTTGTCTTTGCTACCTTCGGGTAGACTTTGCACCATTTCCTTGTAACTCACTATATTTCTGTCATCGTCTCCTTCTTCACTTGAGCCGAGGGTCTCTCAAAAACAACTTCTCTACCTCCCGGTAGTGATAAGGACTGCGTACATTCTACCCTCCCCAGACCCCACTTGTGGGATTTCACTGGGAATGTTGTGGTTGTTGTATGTTAACTCCCACCACCCACAAAGGCTTAGGCATACGAGAAAAAATCACCTAGTATTTTTCTCCTCAGTTGGAATTTATACTAGAGACCTCATGGTTCTACTCCAACTCCATTGACCATTAGGACGCACCCTTGGCTATGTTGACCTATTTCAAACCACACCATTCTTTTGGACAGAGAGTATCTCCCTAGTCGATGTTATTATAATTCCATGGTGTGTTATTTGGTTTTATACAGTTCAGTAAGAGCAGTACTTCATCATTAGTCCGACCTGTCTCTAAAAAAATCTACTTCAGCAAAAACAATACCTCCCAATTTACCAAACTTCTCCTTTCCAAGAAAATGCACATGGGCATTTATAGACAGAGATGCACATGTTACTCTTATTTTGACAAGCAAGAGATGAAGATGTCACGTACAAAGGGATTCTTTTGAGAGATGCAAATTCGGTTACTTTAGTTGACTTTTGCAGTTACTAATAACAAACTCACACGAGAAAGCTCAAATTCATCCGTTTCCAAAAGATTTAATGAAACTCTACAGCACACTAACTTTTTGAAAATGATTGGCACACCAAAGCTCAGTCCAGGAATACTAATAGGAACTTGATGCCCCACATTCAACTTTTTGCAAGATCCAATGGTTGTCCATCCTTCTTTCTGTATATATTTAAAAGTTTGAAATGCAACAGAAACACAATGCCTTTTAGATTAATGCACATAACATGAAGTGAAACACTTCCAACCTAGAATTGGCTCGTTTTCGTCAAACTCTCAAGAAAAAATCCAGAGGCAAATGTCTTCTGTGGCCTGCTGCAACATAAAAAAGTAAATTCTAGGAAATGTGGGAATGGACAAAAGAGTGGTTTATGCTAAACAAGGTCACTCTTTACCAGCCAGGTGTGGGAACCGTATGGAAGCTTATATCCATTCACAGGCATCTAATGGAGGATTTACAGTTACACAATGACTTGTTTTTAAGTGGGATCGATAGCCTAACTTGAAAAGCCTGCTGATTTCAATAGCTTGAAAGGCTGAGTATTTAGCACCAAGACACCAACTAATCATATGCAACTCTTACAAACACAGAAGGGAAACTGATAAGAGACCTCAGCTGGAGTGCACTTACCAAGTCACAAAGCACAACCAACTACAACAATAACAGGCTGAAACTACTAATTCAACTAATAAACCACCACCTGTAATTGCACTAATTTAATATCTACCTGCTGCCTATTTCTCCACTATTGTCTTGCAGGAGTACAATTCGTGCCAGAAGTCGGAGTCCATCAAACATCAGCTTTCCAAATCAGATCACCTCTTACTAGCTATAATATACATCTCAATGATTAATTGCTGATAGATGATTAGCAGCACACTGACAACACTGGGGGAAGCAAATACAATAGCTAGTCAGCGTCCCTGATCCTCTAACACTATGTAACCTTTCTTCTATAACTCGGGGAAAAACATTTCCAGTCTAATACAAAAAAAAAAAACATGTCTTTTGGCATTATTCATTAAACAACAATCACTAGGACAGTAAAGGCAACACACCACAGTAATTCAGATTAAGAGATTGCTACTGTAACAACAATTCAATGTTCATTTGCTTCATTTTTAACCCATTTCATTACGCCATAATTTGAGGTTTTCTAACACTATCTGAACACACAAATCTCTAAAAAGAATAGCTACAGTCAATGAACAATTCAGCTCTAGTCACCTCAGTAAATCTATGGAACAAAAATTCTTTAAGAATACTACAAATAACAAAATCCAGCTGTAGCTTACCTCAGTGAAGCGGTCAAATAGATCATCAGCGGATTCAGAACCATGACTAAGCAACTGAATAATCTTAGCAAAGTAATGCAAGTAAACCACCAAAGCAGTTCCATGTGCAGCTGCAGCAACTGATCCTAATATCATAAGCACCCAATCTAACCGGTCCGCACAAGCAAACAGCATCGAAAACGGTGCAGCTGTTGGCGGAGGTTCCATCTCCTCCGTATCAGCATCCATCTCCTCCTCTAACTCAACCTGCATAGCATCACCTCCTGTATCCGTATAAGGAGAAGGAGATTCCGGCGGCTCCGATACTTCCGACACCGGCGTTAACGGCTGTATATGCGGTGGGGACCACCCAAATAACCCCCTTTGTACCATCATTTTTCAACTACCTGTAAAATCAAAAACCCTTTTTTTACCCTATACCCTAAATCAACCACACAATCCCCTTCAATACCATCATAAAACCCTTAACCCTAAATCATCATCGCAATTTAGGGTTTTTGAAAAAAAAAACACAAAATGAGAATTTCGAATTCAGATCCAAAAAAAATTGAAAATTGAACTAAAAATTGGGAGTGTAAAAGCAGGAATTGAAACTTGAATTTGGTGGAAAGAGCAGAAATGAGCTTAGAGAAAACTCAAAAGCTTGAGCCGGGTCAAAAATGGCGGAGAGAGAGTTGACTGGGTACAGAAAAAATCCCCCTTGTTGTGCGTTTTGTTTATATATGGAGGCTGAAAACGACGACGTATAAAGGAGACAACGGTCGTCGGAGTTTTTCAAGTTTTTAACGTAGAAGGGAAAAGTGGCTGTCTCTGTACAATTTTCAAGTTTTTGAAGTTCGAGTTTTTTTTTTTTTTTCAAAAAAAAATAAAAATTATTCCACATTTGGATTTAAAAAAAATAAAAAAAAAACTTATTACTAAAGGGATTTTATTTTATTTTTACTTGAATTTAAATCATTTGATTAAGATTCAAAAGGTATTTATTGTTCATCATATCATAGTCATTATTGGTAAAGTTAGGTTTAAAATTTTACGATTGAATAGTTACTAAAAGAGCGAAAATACAAGAGAGGTGAATGATATTTTGATTTAAAATAATTGAATTAACTTCTTACATAATGATATCGTATTGGTATTTATTGTTTGCTGTAGTCTTTATTTGTAAAGTTAGGTTTAAAATATTATACTTGAATAGTTATTATATATAAGAGCAAAAATAAAAGACTTGTATGTACAAATTTCATCGAATAAAAGAGAGGTAAATGATACCTTGATTTAGAATGACTGAAATTAACTTCTTACGTAATGGAATTGTGTTTTTTTTGTTATTTATATTTCTTAGGAGAGATGTATTATTCAAGGTTGGATCAATAATTATGATATTCATTCATCTTATTTTAGTATTTTTGTTGAAGAACATAAATTTATATGTAAAAAATTATTGAAATTATGAATAACTTTAAAGATATAATCAGTTTAATGCTTAAAAAAAATTAAATACAAAATCCACAATAGTTAAAATTTGGATACAATCTCTAATGCCATTCATAATTGTGGGTCTAGATCCGATTCTTTTTTCAATTTCGAGAATCAACCAATGGAAAAATTCGTAGTCCAGTGACTCACAACCTCCCTCTCGCCCAAATAAATGATATGAGATGAATCAAATCAATAAGGTTTTTTGATTGATTTAGGGCGCAGCAAAGCAAAAAAAAAATGAGCAAGAACCCCCAATTGCTCAAGGGTCGCACTCTGTCCCGCTTGATAAAAAATATGTTTTTGTGTGTTAAGGAATAACTTCATACTTCTAAAATCACAATTCATATATCAATATTATCAAACAAACGAAATATATTTAAAAAGATTATATTTGAATCGCAAAATTATTATTAATTGGTAATTCTTTATCACTGTTATAGTTTTTTTAAAATAATGCATTTACTTTCACTATCACAAGATAGAAATAAGATTGTCTAACACACCATTCTCTTTAAATTTTACTTATAAAAATTACACTAAATATATTATTATATAACGTTATAGTCATTATTGTCTAATGAAATTCTTTTTTTTATTCTATAGTGAGTATCTATAGAAGAAAAAAAAGTAGTACTAATATATAAAGAAGAAAGTTTGATAAGTCTTTTTCTTTTCTTTTTTCATGGGTGGGTGCAAGTGGTTTATGCACATGATTTGATTAATGTATTGTGTGCTTTGTTGTGTTGTGTCCAGCGCAAATGCTAAAGACTATGTTCCCTCTAAAGCAATCAATGCCCTTTTTCGTCTTTTTATTAGCTTTTGGTTAAAAGTCGTTTTTGACAACATCGAGTGTTTACATCAAACAAATAAATATTTTACATAATATTTGTTTTATTTTATCAAATTACTTTAACATGATAAATTAGTACTCCCTTCGTCTCATTTTATGTGATATTTTTCGGATTTCGAGATTCAAACATATTTATCTTTGACTGTAAGTTTTTTTATAAATCTTTTAAACATTTTGAATTATTTATTATTGTGACTTATAGTACTTTTTATGTAGTTTACAAATATATAAATTTCATTTTAAATTATTTGACTCTCGAAAAATGAAAAGTGTCACATAAATTGGGACAGAGGGAGTGTTAAGTAGTTACTTTTAAAAACTATAACAAGATAGCAGCAATTTTATCAAAATAATTTTTAGAAAAATAGTTTATGATTGACTAATTCATTTGGAGATTTTCTTTTTTAAGTATTTAATAAATAAATTATATTTGACTAATTGACTTTTAAAATGTTTTTGAGTTTTTGACGATTGTGTTACGAAGAAAAAGTTAATTTAAAGGTTCATTGTATGATTAGTTTATATAAACAGAAAAATAGTTTTAAATTTTATATCAAAGACTTCAATATTACTAAGGTCTTAATCAATATAAATATAGTTAAACAAAAAAGGGAACAATATTGGCAAGATCAATATTATTGTGTGGTGCAGAGTATTGGTCAATTAAAAATATTCACGTTCAAAGATGAAGACAACATGGATGAGGGTGCACATATAGAAGTGTTGCCATACTACGACAGATGAGATTAAAAACGAAGTTATACGAGGTAAGATCGAAATGAGGAGGAGGAAATGTAAGAGGTTGGTTGTAAGTTGTAACCCAAGTTAGAAAAAATAGAAAAGGCCAAAAACGAAAATGAGTAGACATGACATGAAACAACTTCAATACTGAGAAAATGAACATAAATAGGAAGATTTGGAGATCAAGAATTAGGATAGAGCTAATAAGTAGTTGAGCACTCTCGTACTTGTAGTCTCTAAAAAAGATTAATTGGATTACTTTGTGTTGCTTCATTCCTTTGTATCTTGCTTTTTTTTTAATCATCATATCATTTTTACAATTTTGTTTCAAAAACTTTTCGTTTGATCTGAGGGTCTATCGAAAGCAACTTCTTTACCCTACAAGATCTATGTACATCTTACTCTCCCCAAACCCCACTTATAAAATACACTACATATATTATTGAGTAGACATATGGCTTAAATTAATGACTGATAATTTGATAATTGTAATTTGTTTTATATGATTAAGACCTGAAAGAACTATTTTTTTTCTCTTAATTTGTAGCTTATCCCAACATCAAATAAATTATTCTTGATGTTGCTCAAAAGCATCTTTTATTTTTGGACAGATACTTCAAATCTCCAAATGTGTATTTTTTTAAATTTCACAAAAGCTTAGCCAAACAAGCAATAAAATATTGGTCAAAATTGCAATACTTTTGAATATAGTTTACAAGAAATAACTAAGAAAAAGGACACATAATTAGGACTTTTGCCTTTTCTCCTCCTTAATGTTTTTTGGTTAGTTTATGAATACGAGTTTTTTTCAAATTTGATGAGCTTCTTCTAACATACATAGTGATATTTAACTTTAACAGTGGCAACAATTTTAGTACATGGATACAAGAATCGTTCGATTCGCGATATTCTGCACACTTCTGGGTGAAAATCCATTACCTGCAGCACACTAGCACACATTTTTCTATAACAGGCTTGTACACTCCTGGACTATTCCATCGGGTACCAACTACATTACATACCTGGGAAGAATCCCCTGGTTTTTCTTTTTCGATGACTCTAGTGTTTGAGACAGCTTGCACGCACCTCAACATTTTCAGTGGATATTTGTCACCTCCGAATAGCATAGGTACTAGATAGCTCTGAACCTTTGGGCTAAGGCAACCAACATACAGAAGCACTGATTTCCAAAAATTGCCATATCCTTTGATACCGGTAAGAGGAGAGGAAGAAGGGAGTTAGCAGGATCCATAAAGTGGTTATTGATGGTCACATCTGCTCGACTTGATTGACATGTCTTTGATCGATTTCATGAGGAACTTTTCGAGTCCTTTTGCAGCTGGCCCTGGTCTTAGGACACTAGGATCACCCCATTCACCGCAAGGATCACTGAACCAATTTGAGCTACCTAAACACCACCCTCCTGGTGAGACCATACCGCGACCACGGTGAAGAATGTGTGCATCAATCATGTCCAATAAGGGAGAATCCGCTGATACGTTTCCAACAAATGCAACCTCCCTTTTAAGTATTCTATCAGAATTTGGAGCTCTGAAGTCTGAAGGATCTCGAGCAGTGTTGTCCGAGTTAATGAATCGCAAATTGGAGTTAATGACAGCATCTGAAAACTCCAGAGTATTGCAAGCAAGAGTCTGAAAATACCCTTTATGAGATGATCTAGTGTTCGTGAAGTATAGCAGGAGCAATCTTGGCAAATTTTCCCATCCCTGGATCGAGTACTCAACAAACTTCCTGTTTAGAATGACATGTTGAGAACCTGACAAATCAAGCAAGATCTCAGAATCCAAACAAATTATCAGAAAACATTTAGACTTGACTAAAGGCGTAAAAAATGAAGGAAACAAGAAATCACCTGGCAAGAAACTTACCCATAAAAAGTTTAAAAGCACTAGGAAGTACCCGTTTTCGGTCGCCCACAAACATTTTTCCTCTTAAGAGAATGTAGAGTCTAGAGTCAACGACAACTTCCAGAGCCTTTTGATATCTGAAAAAACAAATCAAACATAAGCAACTTTATATAATTGTAAAACAACATGTTACCTTTCTCAAAAAATAATAATAATTGTAAAACAACAACTAATTTGAAGGAACGGAAGGAATGATGTTACTTACTCCTCTGGGCTGATGTTCATATTATATTCTATGAAATTCAAATTCCTCGGAACAAAAGACAGGATATGGAGAAAATCTGCAACAAATGTTACACTTAGTGCATCAGCTCAAATATATGTTACATCTAGGAAGAGTAAAGAGCAAACTGAGCCTTTCTAGACGAATGAAGAGGACAGCGGAAATTCATGTAATCAAATACATTGTGAAGAACATTCTGTGGAAATCTATCTTCGGTGTTTAAGTCGTGGTCGGAACGATTAACCCATTTTTCCTCCCGGAATGGTTGATCTTAATGAAACAAAGGGTCATAGCTTTGGATCTCCAAGTTCACTGTTGCACCTTCACCATTCAATCAAGTGTTTATGGTTGATGTGGTTTTTCTACCTTTTTTTTTTTTTAAGATTCTGATGTAATTTCTCTACTCTTCGCTCCTTATCAGTGTGTTTAGGCATCATATCGGTGTTGTTCATGAACTCGAGCCAACTTTGAAGTGAATAAGCTGAATTTCAGAGGACTAGGAGGCACCTCAGTTAAAAGTTCAATAAGAACTTTGGGAAGGAGAACAAAAGAGAAACGAATCCCCAAGCATGAGATAGTGGTTGGCTTCTAAGAGATAAAACTTCACGAGGTCCAATCCACACCCCATGAGAAGGGGCGAAACCAGAATAAAATAAACTATGCGTAAATTTTCATTTTCTTCTGTTAAAAGTTAAAACAAGTTTGAGGAATTTCAAAGAAAAAAACAAGTTTGAGGAATTAGACTTTGACTAGTTTATTACAAAATGACAAGAAAGTATCAATGATCCTAAAAAGCTACTGACTCTCTATGTAATCAAGAATATGCAGACAGACTAATGACTATATTAGGACAAGATTAATGGCATGTGAACACTTGAGGCACCTTGCTTAGTGATGGGACCAGTAGAGGACTCTTCTGTTCACTAGGATCAGCACTCTACTCTTCTTCTTTGTTGCAGGTATACATTATTGTAATTAACTTTAGCCCGGTATTGAGGCCCACTCTTGAGTTATGGTGAGCAACTTACTGCATCCTTAGTTGTGGCTAGTGCTAGTAAATTAGCTTCACTTTTCCATATGCAAATGATGCAAAATGCTGAATATGGTATATAGCAGCAAATTATCAGCCTTACAGCAATTACCACTAGACAAAAATGGATGTGTGGATGCCTTACAAACAACAACAAGAACAACCATGCGTCAACCCTAGGCAAGTCAGGGTCGGCTATATGAATCATCACCAGTGGCGGAGCCAGAAATTTTATTAAAGATGTCCAAGGATAATGGTGTGCAGCTGTCAAAATAAAATAAAAAATATTGTGCTATTTGGGGTTCAAAACTCCTTCATTCAAATGGACACCCATTATCACTACGCCAAAGGCATAGCTTTTGTCAAGGGTGTCCAACTTTAAATATAGAATTTGACATATATCTGACGTAATTTTCCGACGAAGGGTGTCCAATTGGACACCTTGGGGTGGCTGTGGCTACGCCACTTATCATCACTAACCATGTTGCTCCAAATGTAATATACCTTAATGGGATAGATTTTTTTTGCATTCTTTTTTGAGAAAGATATATGGTATACTTCTCTTTTTTCATGTACTCCCTTGAACTTTTTCCATTACACTCCCTTGAGATCAATAAATGCAACTCAACCTTACATGAAATCCACAACCGACAGTCAACTATTCTTCATCTATTAGAAATACTTATATACTTAATGGTGTCTATGCTTCTTCTATTTGCATTTGGTTCACTCCCTTGAAGTACAACTAATGAGTTTGAGAGCAGTCACCGCATACAAGAAATGCACTACATACTTAATGGCATCCTTGGCCTTTGAATTTTTCTTTTGATAAAGATGGTATTTCGCCAGCTTGTGTGCACTTCTACTATTCCAATAGGTACTTGCTAATTGCTACCTCCTATCAGTATAGCTATTAACTCGGTGTACCAAGACTTAGGCAGGTGGAAAGAAAGAAATCACCGAGTATTTTTTTTGTCTGAGCTGGAATTGATCCTTGGTCTCCTATGGTTTTAATCTCATTTCATGATCACTAGGCCACACTTACTTTAGATTCAATGCTCATTAGGAGTATTTTTATTCTGATCAGAGACTTGTATGCCTGTGTCGAAGTAGTGGGAGATCTACAAAACCTCCAATTTGCCTTAAAAGTCATAATATTTAGTAGTGGATTGAAACAAGACTGAATATCGAGCAAATGAATAAGGATAATTCATATAGCCGAACCCAACTAAATTCAAATCAAGGCTTTAGTAGATTGATTGATATTATTCCCTTGAAAGACATTATAAAATCAGATGGATTCAACAAGCTTGACGGTCTTTACATGAACTTCAAAATGCTCATGAAATTTGCTAACCTATGCTCTGTCCAGAGGCGGAGGTATGTAGGGTCAAGGGATTCATTCGAACCCCTTTCGGCGAAAAATTAATGTTTATACATGGTTAAAGATTATATTTTTATGTATATATATACCCAATGTTGAACCCCTTTGACTTCTTAGTTCTTAGTGTGTTACTTCTTTAGTAAAAATCTTGACTCCGCCACTGGCTCTGCCTAATCAAGCTTACAACAACTAATTTAATTTGAACTTGAGCAAGTTCCAATTCAGCTCAAAAATCTTCAAACCAAACAGTAGAAAGACCATCCCCATCCCCCTTTGGAACTGTTCGCTGACTATTGTTTCTCAGCAGCTTCAATAAAAATCACTACTTTCAGCTTAAACTATATAAACTGGACTAAACCCAATCTATCAAAATCTTAACAAAATTAATAGAAAGCAACAAAAATGAAAAAGTAGCTCACCATCTTGTGGAATGAGGGGATAATCAGAGGCATCAAGATTAACAAACCAATCCCAATCCATTTTCCACTTCAACAAAACAGCAGCACCATGAAGCACCAAACCCAAAGGAGAAGACCCTTCTTCATTAACAGCATCAGCTTTCTCAATAACATTCACATTTTCAGCTGCAACAAACACATCAACAGAACCCACTTTCAAGGCAAGCTGAATTCTCTGTTTATGTGAAGCAAATTGATCAAGATGAAGCAAATAGTAGTTTCTTGGATGATACACTGCTTGAAGTAACCTAAAGATTCTTGATCCATCATTTTTAGTACCAGTAATGAAGTAAGCTATTCTTGGTGGTGGTGAAAAGGGGTTTGAGAAAGTGGGGTTGTGAGGAAAATGAGTTTGAGTATGAGTATGGCTATGGAAATGGTGAAGTGGAAGGAGGAGACAAAAGAGGAAAATTAGGGGAAGAGAAAAGAGGAGGATTTGTTTGAGAAAGAGAGACATGGGATTTGGGGATTTTTTGTGTGGAAATTGGAATATGGTTGATTTGGGTCACCAATTTAGGGGTGGAGGTGGGGG